TGAATCAAATCAAATCAGTTCAAATCAAATTATATATTCGAATCAGTTCGAATTGTATCAAATTATATATTCGAATCTGTTCGAATCAAATCAAATCAAATCGAATTCGAATCTGTTCGAATCGAATCGAATCAATCCGAATTTGAATCTGTTCGAATTAAATTATATATTCGAATCAGTTCGAATCAAATTGAATCGAATCAAAGTACAATTCGATTCAATTCGAATTCAATTTGAACTGATTCGAATCAAAAATTAAGTGATTCGATTCGATTCAAATTTGAATCGGTTTGAATCAGTTCGAATTTCATTGATTTGTTCGGAGCCTTACCATTTGGACAGAAAATCAAAAAAGTGTATACTTATTAAAAAATTAAACTTTGTTGATAATAAAGACCTTTTCCATCTCCAAGGTTATCTGACAAATTTATGTTTTTTACATGCGGATACTTTTTTAAAACAATTTACGCAAGTCCAAGACTGAGGTCATCTGACCAAACTTCTGTTTTTTATAACAGAGATCATAATTGGTGAAAACAACAGGCCTTTTTTGCTTAATAGAAAAATGAGTAAACAACTTTTAATTAATACATAAAAGCAATTATAATAAAATTTTTATTTTTGATAATCTGCAAAATTGCCAAGTACATAAATAAAAATCAGAGTTTTGGCAGATTAATTCATTCTACCTTATTTTTAATATTTTTCACATGTTTATTTTTTAAAAAATGTCTATTATATTGATAAAACATTATATTTCATTTCTATTACTTCCGTAAACAATCATCCATTAATTCCTCAACTTTAACTTGTCCATTTTGAATCTTTTCAATCATCCTGATCAAGTCATAATTAATTTCCTGAGTAACAACAGAATCTTGATTATATTTTGGATGATTTTGTACAAAGTTTCTCATCCATTTTGCTGTTGTTTGCAACTTACCTATATAAAAAATATTTTATGGAATGGGTTTTTTTAAAAACTCAATCATCACCAAAAGAAAATTTTTTTTCATAAATAACATACCTTCAGCTCTTTTACTAACAAATCTTAGATATTTTCCTAGCATGCATCTAGATTCTATGTCTACATTGATTGATTCTAAATATCTGAAAATTAATGAGATCAATCCAGGAAATTTGTCCTAATTTTTTTTTTAATTTATTTATTTTAAACAAGTATTATAATAATAAATAATAATAAATAAATTCAATTTTAAAAGACTTACATTTCCATTAAAAATTTCATTGATGGTCATTTTTTGATATTCATCATCTATATTGTCACTAAAACTATTACGATTATGATTATTATCATCATTACCATTTTTATTGTCATTATTATTATTATTATTATTATTGATATCATTAATTATACTACTAAAACTATTACTATTAATATCATGACCATTCATAAACTTATTGTCATTATTATTGTCAAAGGATGAAACATTGTTGTTTTTAGTGGAAGTGGTAGTAGTAGATGATGATGATGATGATGGTGATGATGATGATGATGATGGTGATGAAATATTATCTGTATTATATAAAGTATTTTCTGATGTGTTGTTCAGTATTGGTGAATTTTCTAATAAAGTTGTTTTAATTAGAAAAAATAAAGTTCCTTGATTAATTCTCAGACTTTTTTCTTTAATATACAAAAAAACCAAAATGTTTACCATTTTCCAAAATGTTTTTTCTAAACCAAAACTTTTCATTTAATACTGCATCTTTATTATGAGCTATTCTCATATTCTCATCAACCTTTTGAATAATTTTTAACAAAACATATCAGTGAATAATAATATTATTAATAGATCAGAGAATCAAGCGTGCAATAATTTCAGTTATTCTTGACATAATCAGTGCATGTTGATGAATTCAACAACTGGTTTAGGCATGCCCCCAATTGAAATTATATAGCATGTTATATATGCTCATAGTAAGAATATAAATAAAAAAAATGTCAAATACTTACTTTTGAAATAGGAATATAAAAATTTAAGTTATAACTTAAAATTATCCTAGTCAACAATACAATAAATATTGCAAAAGCAGCATTCTCGAAATCTGTTATTTGTATCTCCATACTACGAAATTCCACTCTCCAGCCTATATTTGAATTGGGTGGTGGTGGTTTGAATCTCATAGTTTGCCAATTTGTTGACTGTATGTTCTGCAAATTTACATTAATATATATATATATATATTGATTACTAATCTATCAACATATATATATATATATATACCAGGGTTGGTCATGGTACCAGTTCATCGGTAGTCCATTGGTGTAATATTTTAACCATATTTAGTAATTTTATTAATGACAATGTGACCATACCAAAACTCATTAGTCCCAATGGACCTAGTCTATTGCCAACCCTGATATATACATAAATAGATTTATCTATTTATTAATGTTTTTTTACCTCAAAATGGTCAGAAGAAATATTATCATCTTGATCTAACAATTCCTCAAAAACAACTAAAGGATCTCTAATAAACAAATGTGAAATATGACGTGCCAAAAGTTCATCAATTCCTAAATTGATGAATTATTTCTTTTCTTTTTAAAAAAAAGATATATATTGAGAAAAAAATAATGATAAAAAAGAGTAATATTTACCATTGTCAACTAATTTTTTAAATATTTTTTCATCATAAACCAAATCCAAATCATTATATTCAGGCTTGAGGGTTTTGTCTGTTGAAATGTAGCAATCAATTGAATCATAACGTGATTTGTTGATGACAAATCGATCATTTTTCAATGGCTAAAAAAAAATGATAATTTTTATGTAAGTATGTAAAGTTTTTTAAATAAACTTATATATTTGAACCAATAAATAAATGTAATAGATATATATTCATTTATTATGTGAAATTACAAAGAAACACAAAACCTCTAGATCACGTTCTTCTTTAGTACGATCATCAACACTTCCAGCTATAACATTCCATCTACAATCAACATCTGATAAATAGCCACGATAAATTGGTGCAGCTGCTGTTAAAGCCAACTAATTAATTAATTAATCAAAAGTAATTTTTTAAAACAACGACAACAATAATAATCTAACAAACATAAATTTTAAGCAAATTTTTATATTAAAAATTTTTTTTGATGATTAAAAATTACCATTATAGGACCAATAACTGCCAATTGATCATATAAGCGTCTTGCTTCTTCAATATTACATGCTTGAAAAGTGATTTGTAAACAGCAACAACCCATACCAAATACCATGGAATCCATATAAATATGATCTGGTAAGGCAGCACCTTCAACAGCCTCTTTATCTTCAGGAAATAGATTGCGATCATATGTAATTTTTGGATCTATAAAAGGGTTTGGCGTGTTTTTATCATGAAAGATAGGCATATTGATTGCTACTTTGGATCCTCGACGTTTACGAATATTTGCAGTAAGTGTTCTAAAAAAAACCAATTTTTACATTTATTACTATTACTATTATCACTATCATTTTCATAGACAACTTGGTAATAAACAACTGGTGGAAAAAATAATAATAATAATTACGGGAATCTTGCATGTGGATTAATTAATTCATCAGGTACAAATAAACTTCTTGATGCATTTCCATGTGGTTCATAATGTGGTTCCAAAAATTGACCTTGACAACCAAGACGAGGAAAGCTTGTAACAGTGACAATTGTTTCATTCTGTCCTAAATGTTTTGTTACAACAAGTCTCCTTAATTTCATATTTGGTTCAACCTTAAGCAAATCTTTTATAGTTCCACCGTAAGGATTTCCAGGAGTGCCTTTTGTTTATTAATTATGATATAAACATATATCTACAATGAGAATTTTTATCATCATTAAATTTTTTATTTTTTTCTTTATTAATAATAAATAAGATTTTATACCTTCAATCATATATGCTCCATATTCTGGCCTCCATAAAGTTTCTAGCACTTTTCTATAAAAATTTATATATTTAATTTATAATAATAAAATAAAATTAACTTATAATGATCATGTTAAATATAGATTTATAATTTAATAATCGTACCCTGAATTTGGATTATCGTTCAATTCCTCTTCTTCTTTTTGTAACTCTTTTAAAATCTCAAATGCCCTTAATGCCAATTTCGCGTTTTTAGTTTCATGGTCATACACGATAACCATATATTCTACCTAGAAAAAAAAACCATTTAAATTAAAAAGAATACTGTTTTCTAAAAAAAATTTATTAACAAGGTACGTTTGTTTTTTACTTACCTCATCACCCCAAACAAGACAGTTTTTTTGTCTATTTTTCATTTTTTGATATATTGATAAAAATTGATGAATGCCATGCTCACGAACATAATCTGAGTATTTTTTTGCTTCCTCCCAAGGAAGTGGTGTTCCAAGTGTTAAGAGTCCCATTTATTATTATTATTATTGTTTTAAAAAAATTTTTTTTTATTTTCGTTCTTTTTTGTACTTATCGTGAAAAGTCAAAACTTTCAGTTCATAGTTCCGTAGTTATAGTTTTGATTTAGAATTAAAATTTCATTCTACATATCAGATAGATAAATTAATTTCTTTTTAGTGTAACAATCATGTATAAATATTGCAAAATAAAGACTAAACGTCTAATAACTAAGTCGGATTTGGGTAATTATTACGCAATGGATAAAATAATTAACAACTTCTTATATTTATTATTATTATAATGTAATACAGGAAAAAATTCGAGATTCTCGTATATGTTAACAATTGCTTTTGCTATTTTTTAATTTGACCAAGACTTCTATGGTTTACGCTTTTCAATCTTGCATATTCTTGAATCACGGATTAATCAGTTTTATACGAGAAAAGTCGAAATCCAAGATCTCAAGCGAATCCCAAGAAGGCACTCTGCTCATAGCTATATATACTTGACCAGGCATGAACATATTTTCATCGATGTTGTTAGTTGCATGAGGTAATGTCAATCCTTGGGTTTTGTGCACGGTAAGAGCAAAGGGTAATTTTCTTTTTGCACGATCACCTTTGTGTGAACTTTGAAAAAAGTTATTAACTCAACTTTTTGAAATTACTTTTAAGGAAGACTATATCTGATTGAGTGAAAATCTTCACTTTAATTCCGATCGAGGATGTTGCGATTGATTGTGTCTGCTGCAGCTGATATAAATGGGCCAAAGCTCTCTTCACTGAGGCCAATTAAATTTTTGTAACATCTATTTAATTTAGAAAGAGTTGGTTGGTTCACTTAGTTGCGCCGCACCAATTAATTACAAGTCAGAAATTATGTTTAATTTTTTTTTGGCATAAAAGTTAATTCAATTTCCAGTTCCAACATTCCCAGTGAAGTACTTCAAATAATGCTTGTAATAAAAATATTATTATACAGTCATTAAGATTACGGTTTGATAAAACGAATGAATATACATGATAAACTGATGCTTTTTATTAAAATTTTATTTTTGTGAAACATATTAATATTCAGTTTAATGAGTTTTGACTGTATTGGATTCAGGTATATATGTAATAGTTATTCCCTGGATCTCAAAAAAAATGTCAGGATCGATGCGACTAAAATAAACTTTTTTAATAAACTTTGTAAACATTTCTAAT